ACATTCAACATTGTTTTTGGAAAACTTTTTTTGTTTACCTCAGAGGCATGAAAACTGATTAATTCCTAAGTTGATTGAAGCTGATGGGTATTCACGTCTGTATTCACTTCTAGCTTCTTTGCCACACTCTGATCCCAAACACACTTATGACAATCATCTGAGTTTACCAGCTGTAAAATAAGGAAGTGGTGCTTCTAAATTTGAGATCATAAGCTCCTTGGCGATTGATGCCATTTTTTTCTGATACACTACAGTAGCTACGGGTAAAATTATCCAAATTATTACCATAATCTGGTCATCGCTAAATCCCACTGCTACCCAGTCACCTTTGCCGCTCAACTCGAACTCTACTTCACTTGAGTTTGTCGCGTTGTACGTCACCAAGAAATCACAGTTATTGCCGCAGTCGGTTGGAAACATAAAGCATCCTTTTTCTGTTCCGCAGCCGTCTGTGTTGATCTAAGAAATGGCATTTGAAACAAGCAATATTGTTAAAGCATCAAGAACAAAGCAGTTTTCTTATTTATAAATTTCCATTTATTCAAGTGAGACATTTACGCCTTTTTTAATTACTATTTTCAACAAGACCATTTAATTAACATTTCGCTAGTGCTTCCTTTTAATATAGTAAACGAAAAGTTAATAATATAATTACACCAAAAATTACTGATACAACCATCGCTACATGTTCTATAAATGTATCAACACATTCCTAAATTGCAGCAAGGAAACAAATCAGTTTTGATCGATAATCACGACTGAAACTTAGTGATCAACTGTTTTCTAACAAAGTAAATTATGATCATTTTGTGCGCTGATGACAGCATTTTTGTTCTTTGTTAAGTCTTAAGTATCTTTTAGGTAGTCTTTTACATCAGCGTTATTGGCTTCCCTGAGCTTCCTTGCCTTATATATTGATTTTTGTAAATATATTCTTAAATGGAAAAAAAATAATAAAACAAACATAGAACCCTCTCACAAGAAGTCAAAACATCAACAAAACTCGCCATCAGAAATTAAGACACAAATTTAGACACTGCCAAAGATCTAAAAACTGAACACCTACCGTGAGACAGTTCAGCTCTGTTGACACCAAGATCAGCAAGACAGCAATCGATAAAATGCGCTGAAGGTTAATAAACATTGATATACACATTAATATACACATTAATGGCACGCAATTAAAATGAGTGGCAATTGATTACTTTTAAACCGCAAATATAGAAATTTAAAATAAAAATCCAGATGCACACTGATTGATTGTCTGATCAGTAAGACTCAAACTTGTTTCTCTGCCACAATTAAAACCGGACATGCATGCACTCTTCGTCTGTAAAGATTGATGAAAAGTTGAAGTCCTTTGTTTCTTAAATTAATCGAGACATGAATCCCAAACAAACAATGGTTATTTAATAGTGTTGCATTCTGAAAACGTGTTAATGGATAGCGTTCAATATTTTAGAAACTGCTTTAGTTTTGAAGTTCCGTTATTTGTTAAATTGATTTATGGAATTCAAACAGACAGAAATACGGCAAAGAGGTAAAATGGAACAAAGTAAAACATCAGCCAGTATTGTTTTGAGAGGTATTGTTAAACCACCGGCTTCTATGTCATCCATTCGGGATTGCTAAGAGTCCGTGTTAGCATTTTGCGGAGAAATATGAATGCATTAGTCATTTATAAACTTTATACTTAGAATATTTTTTTTTAAATTGAAAGTGCACAGCCACAAAACGGAAACATTAACCAAACAGCGGTTAGAGAAGAACCAAGGCATTGTTTAAATCGTCGATTGGGTACCGTCGATGATCTTCGGTATTCTCACACTCTTGAGTCATTAAAATTGTCACCACAAGCTCCTAAATGTACATGCACAGATAAACACCTTAGCGGTCTAGGCGTTCTGTTCAAAGGAGCAGATGATATGTAAATGACGCCGGCGATGAACTTATTCATGGCTTTCGAAGATATATTGACTCTCCCTGCAAACAACCGAATACGGGTTTTTTTTTTTTTCTGTTAACAGCAATATCCTCGATAGAGCCATATAACACTGAATTTAAAAAGAAAATGAAGAAAGAGGACAGTAAGAACTAAAATAAAGTCGTTCAATCCCTCTGTGGTTTATGTTCTTATTCCGTTCAAGTCGAATTTGACAACCATATCGTTAAAGGCTGTGTATTTGCTTTGTTTTTAACCACAATATTCAAATTTTTTCGTAGTCACGAAACCGTCAAATAACGTCCCGGTGTATTCCATCCAAAAACAATACGTAAAGAAACGCTATTTACTCGATGTAACGACGCATTCTGTGAAGAACTGACCGGGTATTCTATAGCAAGTTAACCGCTGAATGATGATGTCTTCTGAATTAACTTAACTGTCAGATGAAAGTCAGTGTTTTAGCTTACCTTTGTCAAGTTCAACATTGCCGAAAGTATTCGCTTATTTCAGAGTAGCGCTCACTCACACAGCAGATGTTCTAAAGTTACTTCGGTCTCTGGTGGCGATATCAGTTGTCGTATCTCCTCTTTTGCGAGTCAGGCATGAGAAGATAGACTACAAAACATTGTGAATTTATACGAACGTCCAAATACTTAGTATGCGCTTAAATTATCTCTTATTGTCATGGAAGCGCAAAACAATCGAGTGCTTTTGAAAATCATATTGCATTGTCATGGTCAACTAGTTGGTTTCAGTTCATTTTTATATAGGTTATACCCAAAATATCCTTCGAGATAATTTTTTTCGTGTTAAAAAAAATCAGAGTTAAATCCGCCTGAACAAAAACGCGGCAGAGTTAACTATGAAGCTAAATGAAATTGTTTTGCTACAATCACCGAAAGCTGTATTTTGATGAACACAAAGATGAACGATTTGTTTTGATTTCCTCTATGGTAATGTATTTGCAGCATCATGGATCATCTGTTTTGCGTGCGTACTAAGAAAAGATAATCATTCGTGCGTACAACCTATAGAATACAACCGCCAATCAGGAAATGCTTTCGTCATAGGAATAATTAATGGTCGGAATCATGACTCATCAGTCTGCCTTCCGGAGTCACGCCAGACTCTTTTTTTCACCGTCCTCACCCGCACAGGGTAGAATATGGAATAAGAACAAGCTAACGCCAGGTTGCTTCCGTGACAATGGGAGATTGGTACGCCTGCTTCGGAAATTGCCACGAAAAAACCGCGAGCTGGTCACGTTGTGAGTTCGTAATATACCCGTAGATGATCAGTCATGTCTTCATATCTTTCTCTGCAGTTCAAAGATATGATATTTCATTCACAACGTGACCAGCTCCCGGTTAGCTTGATAGCTCAGTTTGGTAGAGCACTGCACCGGTATTGCAGAGATCATAGCCTGCGCAAATGCAACATTTAAGTGAGGAGGCATACCCAGAAAATCTTTGACTTTCTGAGTCCTCTGCAATGGTAGGAAATGCATTTTTAATGCGAAAGTATAAAGACGTCCTGAAATTTGCGAGGTGCGGAACACAAACTGGGTGTAGCGTGGAAGAGCACGAAACAACTAATCACGACATTGAACCAGACCACGTTGCAATTCGACAAAGGAACGTGAAAAATACGAAACAACGCCCTTTAAAGCCCGATTATGCATCTTGAAAAGTTTAGCCTAAAGTTTTCGAGTTCTTTGTTTGCAATCCGTGTTAATCTTCTCCATTATAACCATGCTTGCTTTTATGAGGTTTATTATTCTTTTTGGTGTTTTTCTATCTTAGTAAGTTACCATTTTCAGGTTCCCTTCAGTTTATTCAAGGTAATTTTGTACATGGCCATAATAACTCAAAATGCCTTGACTGATCTCCTTTAATGGAAGCTTCACACAACTCTGTTAACGAACACATGGGTAACATAATTAGGTATACAATCATACAATGATACACTAAGGCGGCTTATATTAAGGAATCTTGTATTCTGTTTTAAGCTGTCCTCAAATTCATTGGATTGAGTTGTTCAATGTGATGTAATTTGGAATTTGTATTAAAGATTAAAGATTAAAGATATACATTCCCCACCGTGGGGAGGCTTAAGACCCCCACCGCTCCCCTCCCGTGCATGCGCGGTCATTGTGCACGACATCATCCTGACGTTATCATTATCACTTAACTATTCTCTGACAAAATTTGCGTCTACTACACATGTATGTACATGTATGAAGTTGGGATAATATATTTAACTCGGCTCCATCGCTATCTTACCACAACACCACATCCTAAGAATTTAATTCAAATAATATCATGGGTGACAAATTACTCCTTAATTTGGGCGCGAAATTAGAGCGTTAATTCATAATTTCACATGTGAAATTACAAAATTGCCATGGCAACATCTTTTGTATCTCGACCAGTGCCAAGATGGCGTCGAGATTTAAGACGGTGACCGTTGAAGAAGTTACGGAATTAAAAGAAGCAGCAGAGAACTTAAATACGCGAAAGAGTACAATTAACTGGGTGAGGGTTTTTGAGAAGTGGTGTGACGAAAGTAGCCTTGAGAAAAACCTAGAGATGATTCTTCTTGAGCAGTTGGATAAAGTACTCGAGCGGTTTTACGCCTCCGTGTGTAAACAGGACGGAACCGATTACGAACCTGGGTCCCTAAAAGTGATGCAAGCAGCACTTGACCACCATTTGAAAGAAAAAGGTTGTTCTTTTTCAATTATAAAGGACATGGTAACCGCAATTGATCACGTCGGCCTGAGGTCTATGTTTTGACCAAAAAATTTACTCTCAATAAGTAAAAATAAACGAGTCTGGTTCTGGGGTGCATGTGAACCAATTCAAATGAAATTCATACAGATGG